TTAAGCCAAGTTTATTGCTTCAGAATTATTAACAAAATTACTTTTATTGGACAAAGTAAAAAAGCAGCTATTTATGTTAAATTATATACTCGATTCCGATTGATTCGATGATTGCTACATAATAAACAATCATATTTAGCTGTTCATAAATGCAATCACTATTTATAAAACAAAATATATATTGATTAACTTATTTAGCAGAAAAGTATTTCATAGTATTTCTGCCAATATTGTACGATTTTACTTTAAATTCTTTAAACATTTCTTAGTGTAATAGTTTCTGCTGTATTTGAACGTTAGTCTTAGAAAGTAATGGAATAGATAAGCTTGAAAACTAGCTCTTAACAATATTGTGATTATAGAGACATAGTTTACCTGATGTCTTCGTGACGCCAATTTGCAAACTAACTTATTTTTACTAAAGACAAGAAGACAGCTACTAAATTAGTATTAACACCATCATAGTCTTTCCCACTTTATTAGGGGCCTTTCATTTCGTATGAAAGTGAATGTAAAGAAGGACAAGATTTCAGAATGTTATTAGAGACGATTTGATCTTTGATGTGTTATTCTTTTGAGCCTGGTAATATTCACAACGTTAGTCTCTCAAAACCAAGAGGAAATTTCAATTTATTATTAAAGATTCTAAACAAAATAATTTTGTATATAGCAATACAATCTATTGTAAAAGTGAATAAAAACCTAGTAGTTATTTGACCTTAGAGAGATACGAAGACCAAGACGTTGTGGCCTCTATTTTGGTCGCTGTCTCTTTGAATTTTATGGTGTTTTTTTTTATCTTGTTTTCGCAACTTGGTCATATTTATAGGCAGGCCTAGATTAATGCACCTTGTCTGGAGTCCTTGGCATGCATGATAATTTCCAGAGTTAAACCGTGGACTTGGTACATTACCAGATGTTTCGCCGACATCGTAATCGGCATCGTAAGTCAATCTTGCTATTCTCAGCGCCAAACGACACGTCGCCAAAGCAACAAGTGAATCCAATCCTTTGACCAATTATCTGCCGAAACAGTTGTGCTACCAGTCCTCTTAATCTCCTGCCCCCACTATCTATTTCATATACTATTTCTCACAGTCTTCCTATCATAATTTCTGACTTGTTTATATTCCACTGCTCAAGAGGTGTGCCCTTTTGGCAAATTTACTGTGATCATATCACATCTGCTCTGACTCGGGCCTCGTGTTCTGATCAGACTCAAGGGCTCGTAGATCCATTTATCAGCTTTCTGTGTACTTTTTACTCCAGGCGTTATTTCTCAATACGTATGTAATATATACGAAGAAAAGTTGGGTTTTGATGAATTTCTTGTTTCATAATTGTTGAGCTTACTTCCATTTTGAGTGAAAGTGTATCGAAGTTGGCATATAACCTTAACTAACCAAATCACTTTATACTCGATCAGAGGCCAGATTTAGAGTATATATACCACTTTTTAGGTATTTGCTGGTGAGTTTTCTTGACTCGTTAGGTTTAATTTTGTTGTGACGATGTTACCTCGCGCTGATGATGTCCATCATATGACGGACAAAAGCTTAGCCTCTTTTCACCGGAATCAAAGAAGATTGCCTCGGAAACAGCGTCGGCATGAATCTTCCAGTAAAGCCCATCGACAGCTGGTCAAGAGGAATCCGCCGTCGTTTTCTGGTGGAACCGACCGTCGAATCTCTTCACCCAACACTTTCACTCGAAATGGAAGTAAGCTTAGCAGTTATTTCTCAAGCCTTCAGTAGCACGTAAAATGCCTCCTTATCTGCCGACCACTCTGATTCTCATGCTTGCGGATATTAGGCATTGCCTTCCTGCATCATTTCCTTGATTAAAGGCGCATTCACTGAGCAAACGGTGGACTTCTATCTCTGGTCTCCTGCTATCTCACGAGTGGATACCTAGTCAATTCGGCTATAAGACTGAATTTTTTTGACGGCCTTGATTAATCGTCTCCCTTGTCACGTGACTATCAGGCCCCCAAAGGTGTAGTTCTTTCTTCAAGTAGGCTACACTCACTGAGACTGTCTTCATTCTATTTCAGATACTTTCTTATCCCATTCCTTCACGTGATCCTTTTTCCTCTGGTTAACAATAAGTCCTTGATCAAGGCGTCACTATTTTAGCGGTATAGCCATATTTTTTTTATCACTGCGTTTGCTTAAACAGTAGGAAAAGTTATTGCTAATTCTGCAATCATTCAGTCTCCTGTTCATGACATTTCTTTCCCCATAATCTTTCGTTTCTTTGTGTTTTCACCATTTAAGGCCTCTCAGTATGTTGCTTTCCAATTGATCGATCTCGCGTCCAGTTTGTGCGATATATTCCACAAATTCTGATCTTTTGGTCTCAATTTTCCTGCGGAGCCTTAGATGCTCCTTGATTTGTATTCCAATATACTTATGTTCGCATGCGCCACATGCTGTGCAGTAACATGCGGAGAAATCCTATTTGTCTAGCCTCTCATGTTGCGTGGGTAGACTTGTGAAGAGTATTATTTTTTCTTTCGTGGTCACCTGAATATTCCATTTTCTTAATATTGGCCGTAGTTTTTGAGCTAGTTCGCAGGAAGGTAGGTATATCCACTTTTGTGAGTCTTTCTACATCTTTACCTTTCTTTCATACTCCCCGTTCTGCCATCGGTTCTTCATGGCCAGTATATTTCTCTGTATTAATTCTTCAGGGTATCCGCTTCCGAGGGATATCTCGGTCAATTTTTCTTATTCTTTATCTCAGAATTACACATCCGCTAATCATAGGCCTCTGATGATCAGGCTCCTTAGTATTCCTATCTTCAGTCTGTAGTTGTGGTGAGACTTGAAAATGAGTATTATTACGAAACAACCTCTTTCGGAACAATTTTTCTCGTTTGTTACATTAGAGCGAATGAATTTAACATCTAGCAAATCTGAACTCCCCTCTTCCTCTACTTCCATTGTGAACTTGATTCCTTAATCAATGCGGCCACAATATCTTAGTCATCCTATCTACGTTTAATTTGTTAATAGTACGAGGTCCTTGTGGAATATTGACAACATTCATGGAGTTATCCTTTCAGGCGTCAATAGCTTGATTGCATTAGCAGATTGGACTCAAGCAAGCTTAATGTAATCATCTTCATCTGTGGCCAAGAAATAAATAATTCTTTCCTTGATTTAGGTCGGGATTTCAACAAGTGCCTTTAATATGTTCAATATGCTCCTCATAATTCCACTTTACTGTATAGTCATATATTACAACTTTCAATTGCTTTGGATCTACTTTATTGAGGTCGTTGAATCGCCCGCATATTTTCTCATTTAGCATATACTATGCCTCTTAATGTATATACTTGTCTGTCTCCCATCTTAGCGAACAATTATATGGCAAGATTGGAGGAACACTTCCTGCAAGAGGCAATACTAACACCCAAACTGTTGGTTAGATACATGGATGATTATTTTGTCATCTGGCCTCATGATAATGACAATTTAGATAGTTTCCTATTTTCACTCAACCAGCGTGAAAGGAACATTAGGTCCAAGATGAAAATGGAAGAGAATAAGTCCTTACCTTTTCTAGGCATTCTCATTATTAGAGAATAGGATAGGTTAAGAAAAGATGTTTATAGGAAGCCAACATATTTTGGCTGTTTGCTTAATTTTCTTTCCAACCATAGTTACAAGGCTAAAGTTGGAATTTTGAAGTCAATGATTCTTAGAAGTATGAGGCTAATGGATAGCAAATATTTGACTAAAGAGTTGTAACGGCTGACAAATATATTCCTGGAAAATAATTTTCCTTTGGAGCTTATTGAAAATAATATCTCTCTACTGAGGAATAGATTTGCAGACTGAGATCATTTAGAGTAGAAGTGTTGGGTGAAGAGATTCGAAGGTCGGTTCCACCAGAAGACAACGGCAGATTGTTCTTGACCAGCTGTCAATTGGCTTTACTGGAAGATTCTTGCTATCGCTGTTTCCGAGGCAATCTCCTTTGATTCAGGTGAAAACGTGCTAAGCTTTCGTCCGTCATATGACAGACATCATCAGAGCAAGGTAACATCGTCACAACAAACTTCAAGCTAACGAGTCAAGAAAACTCACCGGAAAATCCCTAAAAAGTGGTATATATACTCCACATCTGGCCTCTTTGATCGAGTATAAAGTGATTTGGTTAATTAAGGTCATATGTCAACTTCTATGCATGTAAGTGTGTCTGTTTCTGTATTTCTATGTGCATGTCTGTGTTCGCTTATTCACGAAACCCGAAGTGATGGCTCAAGTCATGAGATCATTTAGTCATAATTTTGCCGTCATGCTTTCTCTCAAAAAATAGGCGAATTCGTTAAGAAGTGGGGCATAAAAACATCTCTCTTTAAAGAGTTGTTGTATGGGGCTAGGAATGGCGTACTCACTGACGATGCCGACGAAACGTTTGGGAATGTACCACGTCCACGGTTTAACTTTGGTAATGGTCATGCAGTCAATGGACTCCGGTCTAGGTGCGTTCCTCTAAGTCTTCCTACCAATATGATCATGTTGCGAAAACAAGGTCAAACAACTTCTAAAAACATTATTGTTTAAATTTTCATTTCGTATGAATGTGTATTAAGAAAAGATTTCAAGGTCGACGTTACCATAAGAGGACGGTTTAATCCCGTTCTACTGCAGCCTTCTGGCCTTTATACCACATTGTCATTGAACCAGTCGATGCGACCTGCTTTTTTCACGTAAACACGGGCTGATCTTCCCTCTATCATATAATACATATTCTCAGAGTTGGGACTCATTCTAGCAAAATTCTTAATTTAACACTATCCAGCTTTATCTTACCTCTTTATAGATAGAGCCAGATAGTCTTAGTGTTAACTAGAGAACTTTACAAGAATGAGTCCGGGCTTGGGTGATGTCCATTATATGATGGAGGTCTCGTCGACTGCGCCGAACTCAACGTCGTATAAAAGCCAAATGTCTACAGTACAACGGGATTCGATCATCCTCTTCTAGTGAGATCGATCATCGAATCTCCTCTTCATACACTTTCACACGAAATGAAAATCCAAGCAATAATGTTATGTCAGGAGATTCATCGAAACCCAGCTACCCTTAATATAAGAAAAACAGACGTAAAAACACTCCTGGTGTTGGGGTATTTTGTAATACCACCAGTTTGGGTCCTAAATGAGATAGTATTTCTTCTCACTTTCTGCTTAAAACTCATTTACAAGACCAATGCAAATATAAGGAGATCCATGATATCTATTAATTTCTCGGTTAAGTTTACTTGAGAATAGAAGATCAAGATTCGTAAGAAATTTTTGTCTAATATGGCTACCCAGCAAGAGCATTCATGGACAACCACGAGAAAATACTAAATCAAGTTAAGTATAAATGAGGTGGAAAAGTAAAGTTGCTCTGCGCAAATTGTATCATCCTTTCAATTCTAGCAAGTGATAAACTAAATAAGAATAAGCGCAGTGGAGGGAATACAATCTCTATCAAAAATTAGATTATCATTACGGAGATAATAGGCACGCTACCAAATCAATATGCTATGATTTCTCATTTAAGAAAGTGACTGCAGGAAAGTTTGTAGAAGTGTATGATCTTAAGATCTAGTAGATGCTACACACGAAATAGTTGTCCGCAGAATTCACATCGTGTAGAGGAATGCAAACTTCTACTGAACTAGGAATAAATACCCAGATAGTTTAAAGAAATTTTGGATTTGCAAGAAGGATCACAAAGCGACTACTTTGAAATTTGCCCTGACAGGAAGTTTGGTCTACCGACTGAAAACGTCTGCATAGACAGTGGACCATTGACTGAAGCTCAAGTCTGACTAAAAGCCTGTCTCCACCACCAACGTCAAAAGTGAGTACTGTTATTATCTCAATCAATTCTATCTTGTGATCTGGATTTCAGTTTATAATTCTTGCTTTTGGCAGGCGAGCAAGGGTTTACCCATTATTTACAAATATCCTTAATAGTTTATGCAGATATATTGATGTAGACAAGGATAGAGACTTGGCAAGCAAATAACTATAACTTTGAACCAAATATAAAATTTGCAATACACTATTTACACTAATTTGTTTGCCGCACAGTTTAAAATTCATTTGGAATAAGTCAGCGACAGTGTATTTGGAGTAAATGTGGTGCAAGACTAACTGGCGAAAGTAGGAAGCAATGTAATGATCTATAAAGCATTTAGTTTGATCTAAAAGAAAATAAATTGACCGGAAGTATCCGCTCTATCAGAACTATAAACGTCAAATGTTTACTTGATATGCAGGGATTTCCTTGACTTTTATCAATAAATGTAACTAACAAGAACTTTGGTAAAGCGTATCATCGAAAAGGCGTCAACATCTGATACGGCGTATTTAGCACAATTAAATTTATTTCAAAAAGAGTATAAATTAGGAAAGAATAGACTCCAAAAGGCTTAGATCAAACTGAAGGCACAAACAGCATGACCAGTTTGTGATAAAAAAAGTACAAGTTTGATTTTAAAATGGCGATACGGCATAAACAAGGCACGTGTAAATGCGCCCTGGGTAGTCAACTCTTTTGGCAAACCGTTATGGGGCGATGCCTCTTGAGGATTCTAAGCTTCATCGAACACTTTTGAACATTGCGAGGGTATTGACGAATACAAGTAAACTGTATCAAATATGTAACCATTCGAAGCAATTTGGAGGGCTAACGGATGGAGGGAAAAGGGATTAGATTCAGACATCAACATTTTACACATAATTGAGTCTACGAAAACGGAAGGAAGCCTTAAAAAAATATATAAATATTTGCTTAGAGAGAGAAAAACGGTTTAAGCGGCAGGGAAAACTAGCCTTTTAAATATAAACACCAACTGTGTCGAGTATAGTATAACATGTCTTGCGGTGATTTAAAGATTAAAACTGAGAACTGAGTCAGTAGCAAACGGGATAGCCCCATATCTGATCGAAAGGTCTGTTGTCAGGCGATGGAGATCATGCCATATCACGTGAGATGTTTATGGAGTGTGCCATCTTTTCGAACCGCAGAAACATCTCCGCATGTATACAATTTATGTGACTTTGTTTTCGCAACTTGTTCGTATCGTTAAGAGGACCTAAAGGAACGCTTCTTCTCCAAAGTCCATAGTATGCACGATAATTTCCAGAGTGAACTTGGTGCATTTTCACACTTTTCATCACCAGTGAGCCTTGTCGTTCCCAGCACCACACAACGACTCGTCAAAGAAAAAAGTGAAGCCGACCCTCTGGTCAACTGTCTGCGAAACTGTTGTGGTACCTCTCCTGATCCATTCACCAATATGCACTCATATATCCTCGCATCAGTCCTTCATTATTAAAATTTGCTATTTGCTTATTTATACCTAGTTCTGGTGCGCCCCTTTAAGCAGATCTAGAAAGACATATTCACACTTTCCACAGGTTTCCCTGCCCCCCTCCACTGTGCCTCGGGTGTTGCTTCGACTCGGTTCTTTCAGTCAGCAATCCTCTTCCTCTTGGCACTTTCAGAGTCCCCCTCTTGCCCCGCAGGATCCTTCTCTTATCTGCCTGGTTCCGTGATTTCACTCGATCGCTGCCGCCATATTCCTGCCACTCGAGGCGTTATGTTCTACACTCTGCCCAAAGCCTTCATAGCACGTATATCCCAGCCTCACTAAGCAAGCCTCGAATGTTTGGTGGCATAGCAACCTAACAGGACGTTGCATATTTCATTTTCACTCTTCAGCATGTGCACCAGGCAAATTTCGTGGTCAAGTCTTTACTTCATGGACCACAACCCAAATCAAACAGGTCTACTGTTATCCAACTATTCTTGGTTTCACCCGCTTCTCTCAGGCTTTTTTCCATAATGCCAACTCTATGACTTGCCTTTGTGCCTCGGTGTGCCAACCCGCAGATGATATAGTTGTTCCACTTGTTCTGCTTAGGTTCATTGTAGACGTATCATATTGGTTCAGAGTTTTCCCTACTCCTCTCCTCCTTGTGGTCTCTCTCCCTTAAGTTGTAAATATTTCCCTTATCTACTCACCTTCTTTTTGCTGATCTTGTTGTTCTCTGATCTCCTCCAAGTTTGCTGATCCTGCCTCATTCAAGTCTCCTGTTCATCAGATTTTTTCCAGTCAGAATATCGGTTGTCTCTCGGATCTGGAAATTTCTTGCAGTTTCGCTATATGCAGCCAGCCTACCTGTCGATTTCCAGTCGATTTAATGTCCAGTCCGTGCAATGTTTCCCGCTACTTCTGATCTTTCTGTATCCATCTTTCTGCAGATTCGTTTGTGTTCCTTGATTCGTAGGCTGATTTTTCTTCCTGTCTCACCGATATACTTCTGCCCACAGTTGCAGTATTTGATGCTATGGCCTCCCGACCAATACAATTTGACAACTTTTACTATTTCTTTCAGCAAGTTGATGAAAGATTCTGTTTTTACCTTTGCTATCACCTTGATATTCCATTGTCTTAGTGACGAGCATAATTTTTAACTCAGTTCACATAGCGCAGACATATACTCTTTTGGTTGCCCTCCCGATTCCTGATCCTATTTTCATAAAATCCAAGTTAAAACATGCTCTTTATGATCCTTATATTTCGTTATATAACTTATCTGGGGCAACCGTTAATAAGGCAAGTCCAAGTCGGTTTGTCTAACTCCTTGTTGCAGAATTGAGTATTCGCTAGTTTTAAGCTCTGATGATCAAACTCCACATTATTCCTATCTTCCGTCTGTAGTTGTGATGAGGCTGGAAATTGAGGATACTTCCCGCACGTGATTTATTTCTGGATAGTTTCCACTTGAATGGCTCATTAGAGTTGATTACCTCAATATTCAGTATAGGTAGTCGCATTCTCCTCCA